GTATTAGATACGTATGATGCACGATCCTCGCAGTAGATAGCGCTATTTAAGCAATAGCGAAAATCAGACCTGACTTGATTCGTAAATTACCGCAGAGAGAAAAAAAGCCATCTTTCCAATGATAGCACTCTAACTGTCAGGTCACTGGACAATTAGAGTGCTATCATTGTCATTATTAGATACGTATGATGCATTATGTATTACGAATCAACTTAACGGCCTGCTCCCAGTTGGCTTGTTAGCTCAATTGGTAGAGCGCTGCACTAGTATCGCAGAGGTCAGTGGTTCGAATCCCGTACAGGCCTGAAATTTTTTTCAGGTCTGATTTTCACTATTGCTCAAATAGTGCTTTACTGCGAAGGATCGTTCTCATATACGTCTCATAACCGCAGTTCACACATATGTTTCATATGTTTGTTGTTGTTTGATTTATCATCTACGGGTTTATATCGAATTAATTTGATGGCCTGCTCCCAGTTGGCTTGTTAGCTCAATTGGTAGAGCGCTGCACTAGTATCGCAGAGGTCAGTGGTTCGAGTCCCGTACAGGCCTGAAATTTTTTTCAGGTCTGATTTTCACTATTGCTCAAATAGTGCTTTACTGCGAAGGATCGTTCTCATATACGTCTCATAACCGCAGTTCACACATATGTTTCATATGTTTGTTGTTGTTTGATTTATCATCTACGGGTTTATATCGAATTAATTTGATGGCCTGCTCCCAGTTGGCTTGTTAGCTCAATTGGTAGAGCGCTGCACTAGTATCGCAGAGGTCAGTGGTTCGAATCCCGTACAGGCCTGAAATTTTTTTCAGGTCTGATTTTCACTATTGCTCAAATAGTGCTTTACTGCGAAGGATCGTTCTCATATACGTCTCATAACCGCAGTTCACACATATGTTTCATATGTTTGTTGTTGTTTGATTTATCATCTACGGGTTTATATCGAATTAATTTGATGGCCTGCTCCCAGTTGGCTTGTTAGCTCAATTGGTAGAGCGCTGCACTAGTATCGCAGAGGTCAGTGGCTGGAATCCCGTACAGGCCTGATTTATTTCAGGTCTGATTTTCGCTATTGCTTAAATAGCCCTATCTACTGCGAGGATCGTGCATCATACGTATCTAATACCGCAGTTCAAAATATATGAGCTTCATATATTTCATTGTATCAGAGAAGAAATTGTTCCTGGTTTTATGCTCCATACGTTTTACTCACTTGAACAATCTGGCCAGTGCTTACGCGGCCACCACATTCCACTTCCAGTGCAAAACCAAGTAGACTCTCTAAAATCCTCAAGAAAATCCCATTGGTCATTGCAGAACGGACTGCAAAAGTGCCCAAAAACCCAGTTATCGCAGGCCATCGCTCCATTCTTCGGTGGCTTCTTTTTTGGACATTCTAGAGCTTAAAAAATAAAATATGAATTTACATAAAAGAAAATCAAAGGAAATTGGATTTCTTTCGTTTCAAACACAAATGCGTTCTTATTATTTTTGTATCTGCTCATCCACTGCGCGAACCATAAAGTGCAAACCTCCCTATTGGAGAGTTGAGAGAATACTAATTCTTGGTAAATGATCTTACTGGAAAGGTTTCAGACGAATTATGTTTTGGAGAGAGCAGAAAGAGGACAAATTCAGCGACTTAATTTCGAAAAGTTTTGTTTCAAAGAACGGTGGCCGCCTAAGCCTAAAGTTACCACTTATTTGTGGTCTATGACTCTTTTAATAACGTCGCTAACTGAAGAAGGCTTTGTTAAAAATCCTCCTCAACTTAAATTTCCAACCCAACCTTAGAGTCACCATTGTATAACCTCGCCAAAAATGTAAGGGAGTAGAGAAATGCATATGCACTCCACATCTCCACATACTGAATGCCCTGTATTTTCTGCACCCCCAGATACGATTAGTTACTCACGTTTAACATTTAATGTGAATTTGCAGATGGCTGGTTTGTTACTTGGGTTTTTATCATACGCAGTACAATGTACGTTCCAAGTTCCCCAGTAAAAGTCTGCTGATTCATTGTGGCTGCAGCTTATGATCAGTGGTTCGTTGCTGTTGTCTTTAAATTTTGGTTGTTTCCACTTCACTGTTGTAACCCATCCCGTAGCCTTAACTTCCTGGTCAGGAGGGCAGTAGACAACTTCGGGTCCCTTATTATCTGCAAGAAAGAGAGCATGTATTCTAAATTCTGTTTGTATCTAACGATCCTAAGAGAAAATGACAATTGGACTGAAACGTTTGGCACGATGACTTATAACTTAAACCATTACGTAACACAAACCTTCAACAGTTATTTTAAAGGAACATTTTGCCACATTTCCCGATGAATCCACGGCGGTGTAAGCTACTTTTGTGGTGTGGTGAAAAGAAAAGGGTGGATGAATACCCTTCGGTGACACAGTTACTTTCGGTTCAATACGACTATTGTCAGATACAACAGGAATTGTCCAATTTGCTTCTGCGCGTCCTCCTTCGTCCAGGCCAACAGCAATGTCCAAGGGACAGCTTTCAAATACTGGCCGTGTAATATCTGAAAAAAGGTTTGAAATTTCATGAAAAAATGACAAAGAATAACTAACCGAGGGCGACAACCAGTGAAATAAAGAAGGATCTACACTGTTTGATGGCGGTGCGTATAATAAAACCTTAACAGTTAGAAGGAGAAAACTGGGTTCCATCGCTATGCCAAGTTATAAATTAGTCCTGGCCAGTCACGTATGGCGTTCGATGTTCGTTTTTGATTTTCTTTAAATACAAAATTGAAATGTTTTGTAGTCTATGAAAAACAGTCCGAGCCGTATAATTTGATTTCTTGAAATACACTTTCCTCGTATCACCAGGTTAACTCACCCTTGCATTTAAAAGATGCGTCGTCTCCCACGTCCCATTTTCCATCAAGTCCGCAATGTACTTTCTCTGCTCCTTCTTCCAGCTTATAACCATGCTTGCACTCAAAATAACAGTCGGTGCCACTGACAGGAGATATTATACACATGAAAGGATACACAATGCCAAACTTTGGCACGTCCAGTTTAGTGCATCTGCGAACTGGGTAAAAGTGACAAGTGCAAAGGTCATTTTCATCACCTACTTACAAGCAGTTTTGATATAATATAATATATATATTGTGGGAGGAAAAAGACAAGTAAACTACAAGTTCATCCTTACAAGCCTGTTTCGTGGTCGCCCACTCATCAGGGGATTTAATGAGAATAAACTTTACCATTGCTTATATACAATATAATTTGCATGATCTAACTAGTCTAATTTATGCAGCGCGAAATTGACAGTTTAGTTGTTGCGTAGGAGGTCTTTGCCTCTGTTTCGGCAAGAAGACACGAGTTCATTACGTTTCTTTAGTCTTGACAGTTCGGGCCGGCAGATAATTAGGAATTTTTCTTTGAGGCAGAGGTTACATATTTTACTTGAGCTGTTGTACGGTGAGTGCGATGAGAGAATGCGCCAGGAAATAAAGTGATAGATGTTGTTGTCTTTGAGGGTCCAGATGTGCTTGCTGAGTTAAGCGTGAAGACAATATGGCTGAATATTGGCCGAGTTTCTTTTTTGCATTTTTATGGACCGAGACGAACAAAAAAGGACGAGGCTACTATTCAGCTATCTTGACCGACTAAGCTTGGTTAATAGAGGATTTGTTATATCACAAAAAGATTTCGCTTAAATAAGAATTAGGAACGACTTGTTTACCTTGAGAGCCTGGCTAGAAAGCCAACTGTGTTTGTACCACAACAAACACACGAGAGTCGTTTCTGTTTCCCTTGTTTTTAATATCCTTTGCCACTTTTTGCGTTTCCATCGCCGAAAATGTCCAAGAATTACGAAGGTAGTTCTAATCCTATTTTTTTTAAGTACAGGATCAATGCAGGCAATCCCGAGCGGGCAAGATGTGCCCATCTTGACCGCTCGATTGGCCAATCAGAACACTGGATTCGCTTTATCTTGCCCACGTGCGCTGTGAGCGATGTAATAATTAACTAACTTACAAACGAACTGATCTTCACAAGTTTACTACACAAATGGCTTTCGCAGCAATCAACGTAGAAGCCAAAAAAGGTTGACTTCTCTTTTTTTTTTTTAATGCCTATTCTACAGTGAATTATATTGCTAGAAACTAGCAATGATCTCCAAAGAATCCACTCCTCTCTAGACGATTGGAGGGAGAGGAATAGAAAGCAAGCTCGTATTTGTGTAAAAGCAAAATTTCTTCAGGATGTGTCAAGTCAAAGGCAATAGTGAAGCTATACTGACATTTTGGTAACTTACTTCTACAGACCGGGAAATCTTTATCCCACTTTCCCGTCAAGTGACCTGACCTAGCTACGCAAGTAGTACTCGATGGGCCATCAAGGTTGTATCCGTTGTCGCATCCCATGGTGCACTTTGAACCATATATGTTACCGCAAGGTCCAATGAAGAAACCATTGAGTGGACTGAGAAGCCTTTGGCATCTGGTGACTTTGAAACAAAAACGTGATCATACTCATACTTCTAGTATCTAACCTTCAAAATCGTAAATAAATTTGTAAAAACTTTTTTCAGAGTCGACTATATAATTTCAAAGCTGCGTTGAGAGGAGAGTCAAATCGAGTCATAAATAAGGTGTTCATTGCCATAATCGCAATTACAGTCTTGTCTGAGGCCGAGGATCTTTGGACATTTTGAGAAAGCTGTGGCCCACGGTTATTGTTTAAAATACATAAAACGCTGTCCAAAGTCTATCTATGCTAATTCGACTCTAAGCACAATACTACTTACCATCAACAGACAGATAAAAGCGGCAAAGCTTTCTATTTTCTGCGGCGTCAGTTGCGTTATATACAATTAAATGCTTTCCTTCGTAGTATTTGGCTCTTACTCCAACTGAAGTGACGACTGGCTTAATACCAGAGTTGTCTGTAGCAACTATTGGCGGCCAAGATGGTACTGTGTAATTCTTTCCTTTGTCTGCTGTTACTAATATAGTGGTAGGACAAGTTGAACCAAATGATGGACTTTCGATGTCTAGATGTAAATAGAAAATAATGCTGTTGGTTTGGATTTACCAACTGTGTAGCTATTCTGTATTTCTGCTAAACTTAACATTTCACAATGTGTTTAAGGAGAGTTTGTTCTTGTAAGGTCATCTGTGTCATCTATTTCTTTAATTTCTTTTTTAAACGATATGCTTTTCCTCTGTGCTAGAAATCAGCCCATTCTTACGTATTTGTCATTAGGAGAATTCCTTGGCAACTAATTCACGAAGTAAGAAATGCACAGACACAAAATCAGTTAAACTATAAGCACACTTCTGGCAGATTTTGAGTGTGGACTTAAGATCTTTATGTGTCATTGAAATGAGGGTTGATACAGTTCATGGATAAATAGATAGATAAATTAAATAATTGAATACGATAATCTTTCCTCTAGTCCCCCTGGTCGAAAATTGCCTTTTCCCTCTGATACAATGGTCAAACAGGCAAGATTTGGAGCAGATAATTCATTGCCAGTCATGGCTCGTTCACGCTGGTATCATGACGAGAAAATGGGTTGGTGAAAACAGACTGAGGTTTCAACTTTCCTTCTGCAAGGTTAGATGAAATCATTTAAAGCATTTTATTTAAATAACTTTTCCTTCGCCTACTTTAGCCAAAAGCCCATTTTAATTCATTTACCTTTACAAGTAATGCTAGAGTTTGAAGACCATTTGCCGTTGTTCAGGCAAAACTTTAGAGGTTTTCCGATTAGCCTGAAACCTTTGTTGCAGGAAAAGTAACACGAGACTCCATACTTTGGAGAGGACGTGCAATCATTAGGCTCCACGTAGCCGTGGATAGGAGGATGTAATGGCGGACATCTCACCTCTAGAATCAAAAAATACATAAGGCCTTCAATATTAGGTAAAATAACTAAATGTGTACTCATTTTGGGATTGTTGGCTGATTATTCTATCCTGCAAAAACCATAAAATATTTGGAAACGGAAGTCTAAATTTCCTTTAACCTCCGCACTGCCAGGAGGCTATTTTATTGGACGAGGGTGAAGAGTAGAAGGAAAACGAGAGTGAAGAAAAGAAGGAAAACGAGGGTTAAGAGGAGATGGAAACTCTTCAGATCTCGTCTAGCCAAAACTCTTAAAAGTACATTGCAATCGATAGCTGTTGGTTGCTTGTGAGGCAATCCGCAATGTGGATTCTGCGTACTGATAAGCTGCCGGATTACCGTAATGCCATCTGAGATAGACTTGGGCCTAATAGACCCCTCTCCCTCCCCCTCCAATTTATTTTGTTAAGACCCTCTTGTTTTACACCTATGGATGTAAACGTGACTTTATTCTTTTGCAAAAAAATTGTGTTCTGGTAGATAGAAATTCAAAACAAGACTCACTGGTAAAAAAAAAATGCCTCTTTTGCGCTGTCTTAGATGTAAGTCAAATTATCTCAGAGAAGGTTTTCTTGAAACCCAACATTCCATGCCATTATGAGTCCTGAATTACTGTCTCGCAATGACTTTTAAAGAAACTTATTTGAAAGCATCAGTTACATAAGGCTACATAGCACTTCTCCCCTTTTGCTTTTTACGACTTTGCTCGTAAAGCGTGCTCATATGATCAAACCATTCATCATTTGCTAAAAAAAAACCAGCTATTACCTCGACAACGCAATGGTTCTCCAGACCAAGTTCCATTTGCTTGACAGACTCTTTCAGGCGACCCACTCTCCTTATAGAAACCCCGTCGGCAATAGAAGAGGCACCTGTCACCAAATAAATTTTGCACTTTTCCACCGCCGCAGCCGGACTGTAAAGTGTTAGGGGGTAAATCAATGTGTGGGCATTTGGCCACTACAAAGAAGAGGATTAACAATATGGTTAGACCTTTGCTGAAGAAAAATAGTTGTAGCTTGTTCTTTATGATACATTCTGCTTCTAGACGACGAAAAGGACTATTTTCTAGCCATTAATCTAGTACCTAGATCCTACAATGTAAATGTAACTGAAATGTAGGGCTCCTTACAACCGTTTGAAAGATCTAGGTATAAATGAGAATTCAGCCTTTTTTGGGCTGCGATAGGAGTTGAAAAAAACCTAAATTTAACAAATAGTGTCTATTTCCTTGCTTCTCTTCAGTAAGAGATCACAGATGACGTCAAAATATGGTAAGAACAAAAAAAAAAAAAACTGCACTAGGCATAGCCGAGTGTGTCATGTCTTCGATATAATTATTGTACCGACCACGGTAATATTGAGTCTATATTTTTTACATGATACAAAAAGGCAATTGTTGTTCAAGATGACGTTATCTATGCGCCGGTCCTCTAAAGGATCATAGGTCAAAATCAGTCAAAACGCGTGCATAATTCAGCTAACCGTATTACAATTGATGGAGAAGGGGCTATTACAGGCGAAGGACATTATTTTTCCCGCTCACTTTGTATCAGTTTCATATAACTTTAGCATTTAAAATTGACAAGTTAAAGCTAAACAATAAAGACATCGAATCTTCGAGCCTCTTTTCTTGGCTAAGACAGTTTAATCAGCAATATCGATGAGGAACAAGGAACCTCTACAGATATCCTAATCTTGAACGCAATAAATAACATATTTCTCCGTCAACGATATCATTTGGTCTACTGAGATGCAGCCATGAAATCATAAAGGAGCGATGATCATGAGGAGGTTTGAAAGCGAGCACAGCAACGAAATTGAGTGAACGGTAAGGTGATGGGCCGGTTCGACTGATATCAGGAGATATTTTACAAAATTAAACATCAGATGTAAAGGAAATTACTCTTGATAGGAATTTTAGGCGTCTAAGTCAACATATATGCAAATTACATCCTCGTAGCTAATACTGACAACAAAAGAATCTAACAATTATGATGAGCATGATCTAATCTGGAAAATACACCTCCATGACAGTGAACGAGAGCCAAACCATATCGGCTAGTTCGAATAGTCTCCTCACTGACGTATACTTTGGAAGTTCGCATTTGGTAATAGTACTGGAAAGTAAACTGAGATAAAATATGATTATTTGACTGCTATGTACACTTACATTTACACTTTGTTTCGTTTCCAGTCCAGTAACCCTTCTTTCCGTTCTTCTCGCACACTCTGTGAACAGAACCTTCTAAGCTGTAGCCGTGGTGGCAAGAAAAAAAGCACTTGGAGCCGTAAACGTTGGAACTACTACAGATCATTCTACCACCAGGTGGAGCAAATACCTTAGGCCAACAGCGGATTACTAGAACGATACAAATCACTTAAATTAACTTTATGTACCAAAAATCGTCTATTCCATCCCTTTTCCCCCTTCCGTATTACATGGCTTGGGATCATTTCAACATAGATTCTTCAACCTTGCCTTAAATAAACGGCACAAAGTATTATATGATCTTCATTGGTTGTTCGCCTTTGAGTATGATGAAGAATCCTTAAAATTCAAAGTAACTACCTGAAATAAATATCCTAACAAAGCAAGTCGCAAAGTTTCCCATGTTATCAACTGCAGTGTAAATGACGCTGTGTTCGCCCTCTCTAAAGATGGATCCTGATTTTTTCCCTTTTATTGTGACATTTGGTGGTATTCCAGAATTATCTGCTGCGTTTGGTCGAGCCCATTCGACTTTTGCCGTAAGTTCTTCCTTTGCAGCCGTGGCTTCTATCATCCTTGGGCAAGACAAAAACTTTGGCGCAGCTATGTCTGCGAAACAGGAATTTTGTACAAGTGTAAAAAATTGTTTACTAGATTTAGGTTTATTTTGTTAGAACAAATGAAAATTTACTCACCTCCTTTTCACTTGATAGTTCCGAAATACTTCAAAATACCACTTAGCGAAAGGGAGGGTTCGCGTGGTATCTTGGAGGTGTAGAGATTAATAAGCTCAGTCGAACCTCAAGGTGTCATGTTCACTTTACAGTTTTCAAGTAATTAAGGTTTGAGAGTTGCAGTGGCATAAAGAAACACGAAAAAAAATTTAGTTGGTGCAGACCTTTGCAAGAAGGATTCTGTAGTGGATGCATTGTTCCAGACTGCATACAAGTCTTCAGTCCAGGTCCCACCAGCTGGTACCCTTCTTTGCAAGTGAACCGACAAACAGTCGCATAAGAAATGTTACCATTCGAGCATTCTTTTGGCTCAACCATCATGGCCCCATGGTTGATGCTCAGTTTGGGACAACTAACAGCTGTAAAGAAAAAGCGCAGGGAAAAATCGTGTAAGTGTATTTCTCACTTTAAATATCCTTTCTAATATATTTCGAAAAAAGAGTCTAAACCACTCTAGATGATGATGTATGCCTAATTCTGGAAACCTCGTGGCCTTATTGCACTTACAGAGCCTATACAATTTTTCCTGATTTTGAAATAATTGCAGCCTTAAACTCAGGTGCCTATAAGCCGAACCATACCACAAATGAAATAAATGTAAAGAACGCCAAGTTCTGACTAAATAGCTGTTCGCGAATAGTTACACAAGACAGTCCGTCAAATGTGACACTTAAGAAAGCTCTCCGTTTTGAAGGTCAATCAACTGAGATCTTATTTCTACCTGTATTAATGCTGATGACAAAATGAGAGGTAAACCCTCTCCTTTGACTTCTTTGGAATGTTTTTCACTGTACAGAGATAATCTAAGACGCTCTTAATTACGAGTTAGAGGGGAGGCAATATATCTTTGTTTAAATTTACAACAAATTCAAGTCCCGTTTAAACACACAAGGCCAAGGTTTTGAGTTGTATCTACTTGGGGAAACAGGCGTTAAATCAAAGCGTAAAATATCAAATATTTTGTCATTGTGCAGCATTCGTATAACACCTTATATTAAGTTGTGTCTTTAAAAGTTTTCTTTATGCCAGTTGATCAGAATTCAAGTAGGGAAAATTTTGAGCTTGAAACTGGGAAATGACTGCCAATTGCATTGTAGATAATTCTTCCACCACTTATGACAATGTGATTGTAGAGAACTTAAGAAAACAATTACCTGAGCAAGAAAGTTGTGAACCACTCCAATTTCCATTCGCCAAACATGTTCGTTTACTTGACCCTTGCAATGCAGTGAAACCAATGTTGCAACTGACGAGGCAGGTGGTACTATAGTTTGCGACGCGACCGTCGCAGCCATATCCAGCCATTGTCGCGTTTGCAGGAGCAGGGAGCGATGAACATTTATTAACTAGCAATAAAAAAACCTTTTAGTTTATCTACGGTCCAAAAACTATGACAATGGACATGAGTATATGATGAGCAAACTCACATCTCATCATTAAGCAATAAACCACACTTTCTTTCGGTTTATCGGCTGATAAAACCACCTAAGATGTCGCGAGAACACTCGACAAGTTTGTAAACCAAAAGGCTAGGCCTCCAAACCAAATGCCTTTGCCGAATTAAAATCTGGGAATTTGCTTAGTGTGGCGCCATCTGACAGGTCAGGAAGATTTTGCAGTTCCCTATGGGTATACAGGCAAATATCCAGTATATTTTCAATCGATCAGAGCCCAGCAGGTTGTGTCTAAACTCCATATACGCTGCAGTACTGTGAGGTGGATGCAAATGGAGAAATTTTTTAAAATAGGATTTAGGCTGAATTCTGGGACGATCTTCACACCATTATATCTCATATGTAATAATGATAATAATAACAATAACAATAATAACAATAGCAATTATTATAATAAATATTTTATTATTATTATTATTATTATAAGAATAATTATTTCCCGAAAACAGTTTCATAATCTTATGAAATTAAAACCTCTTGAAAAACTGTCTGTTACCGACGAAAGAAACCGTGTAAAATTGATGATAACGGCCAAATTAAGAAGAGTTTATTTCTTCTGTGGTTGAGCGGTATGATCATGGTTGGCACGTAAACTTGGGGGATTTGTCCGTATGAGTTTTGTTTGGTCGGTAATGTGCAAGTCTTACCTTCGCACTTTGGGTTACCACTCCAGAACGTATTATTTTTATTTTTTTCACATTTTCTGACATTGTCGCCTTTGAGGGTAAATCCATGATCGCACATAACATGGCATGTACTTCCGTAAAGATTGCCACATTTAGGATTCACAAGCTTCCCATTTAGCGGTGGATATAATGGAGGACATCTGAAGACTGCGAGTAATGAAAAGCGAAGCTACAAATTAGCATTGATAGCAATAAGAACAATAATAGCGTATAGCGGCCTTGAGATTTATCGTGGCTAGAGCTGGTATCGCATTTTGCTTGAATCAGACGTTGTTTCGCATGCATACTCGCCTGGTTGGCTTTTTATTCGGGTTCTCCAATCGTCCTCCACATGAAAATAACATTACTAATAATAATAATAATAATGATAATAATAATGATGATGATAATAATAATAATAATAATAATAATAATAACAATAATGATAAAAATAATAGTAACCGTAGCAACAATAATGATAATAACATTAGTAATATTGATAATAAATTAAAATGATAATAATACTATAAATTGCGATTCGTGCGATATCGGTTTTTCAAGTGAAATTTAACGTGGAATTCACGAGTCAGGCAGTAAATTTTTCTTGAATCGCATAACTGAATAAAAATAAGAAAACAAGAAATTAAAACGGCAATATTATTGTTTGTTGTTATCCCGTACGCGCGCCCTTAAGAAAGCTATTTTAAAGTCAACTGTCAGAACTGTCATTGATGTAAAGGGAATAGAAAGCAAGGTAAGTCGCTCACGTTTGAACCCTCGACAATTTATTTATACCTCGTGAATTTTACTTGAATCGCATAGCTAAAGCCTCCAAATCACTGGGCGAAACAGTCAGAATTGTCATTGATATAAAGGGAATGGAAAGCAAGGTAAGTCGCTCACGTTTGAACCGTCGACAATTTTATTTGTACCTCGTGAATTTTTCTTGAATCACATAGCTAAAGCCTCCAAATCACTGGGCGAAATCAGATGTTTTG